CTGCGCATCATTCAGAACTTCTGGCGTCTATTAACAGCTCGACAGTCGATGCTTTTCTTGTAACCGAATCCTTCCTTAAACCTTCTCTTCCTTCATCTCAGTTCGCACTTCCAGGATTTAACCTTATTCGCAATGACAGGACCGGCAAGGGTGGTGGTGGAGTAGCAATCTACCTTCGCACCGACATTCCGTTCCGTGTTATTAGCACTTCTCCATCTGCTTATAGTGCGGCAGCTGAGCATTTGTTTTTAGAAGTATCTATTCGCCAAACAAAATTACTTCTCGGTGTCTTATACTCTCCTAATCTATATATCGACTACTTTGATACTTTTGATAAACTCCTTGATGCTTATAGACCAACTTACCAGCACATCATAATCATGGGTGACTTCAACACATGCCTTCTGAAATCCAATGTACGTTCCTCTAAACTTCAATCTATTATTTCTTCTTACAATTTACATGTTCTTCCTACATCTTCCACTCACCATTTTCCTAACTGTGTGCCCACACAACTTGACCTAATGATAATTTCTTCTCCAGAGAAAGTGGTAACTCACGGGCAAATGACTGCAAATTTTTCCTATCACGATCTCGTCTTCCTTTCATATAAACTTAAACCACCCAAACGTAAACCCCAATATATAATGCGGCGAAACTACAAAGGTATTAATTTGAATCATTTGCGACGTGATGCTGAAAATGTGGATTGGTCTTTAGTGTTCCAGGCTCCCTCCATTGATGAAAAGGTCAGTAAATTTAATTCACTGCTTCTTGGCTTATATGACCTGCACGCACCTTTAAAATTAATTAAAATTAGACATAAACCTGCTCCTTGGATCAACGAAGAAATCAAAGGACTTATGGCACTGAGGGATAAAGCGAAACGGAGAGTTAAAAACCGCCCCTCTGATGACAACCTGGTTCGCTATAAGGCCCTACGCAATCGCTGCAGTCGTATGTGTAGAGATGCTAAGAGACGGTATTTTCATGATTCTCTTAGTAACCGCAATACAGCAGATACCTGGCGTTTCCTTCGATCAGTCGGTGTGGGCAAGCCTTGTTCCTCTGTCCCAACTGGCACTGACATAAATGCTCTAAACAGACATTTTTCTCTCCCTCCAGTCAGTATTGCTAACAGCGACAAGGATATTGCTCTTAAGAAACTATCAGAACTTGCTAGACCCAACTGCCCTCTATTTGACTTTTCGATGGTTTCTGAAACTGACGTCAAGAATTCTATTCTGTCCATATTTTCCGAGTCCACTGGCGACGACAATTTGAGCTCGAGAATGTTTATTCCTATTCTTTCTACTCTTCTCCCTGTCCTAGCCCACATCTTTAACTACTCCTTGTCATTCAAATGTTTTCCCAAAATTTGGAAAAAGGCACACATTATTCCTTTACCTAAAATTTCTAACCCTACATTACCTTGCCACTTTCGTCCCATTTCCATCTTACCTTTTCTTTCCAAAGTTCTCGAGCACATTGTCCACAAACAAGTTTCTCAATTTCTTCTTTCCAACAATCTCCTGAATCGTTATCAGTCCGGATTTCGGCCAGGACACAGTACGACCACTGCCTTAGTGAATGTCACCGATGATATTCGCTGGGCAATGGATAACAAAGCACTTACTGTCCTAGTATTGTTAGACTTTAGCAATGCATTCAGTTCCGTAAATTTTGACATTCTCCTTGCTATTCTTCATTCTCTAAATGTCTCTTCTTCTGCTCTTTCTTGGTTTGATTCCTATCTTCGGGGTCGCTCGCAGTGTGTTCGTCTTGATGACACAACCTCTGATGGGTGTGAACTCAGTGTGGGTGTACCTCAGGGAGGCGTTCTCTCGCCACTCCTATTCTCCATTTTTATCAACTCAGTTATAAGAGTTATCTCCTCCAAGTTCCATCTCTACGCAGATGACTTGCAGCTTTATCGCCATTTCAATATTGACGAATCGGACTCCGCAATAGCAGCCATTAATGAGGACCTTAACCGTATCAGTACTTGGGCAAAATTTTATGGTCTCTCTGTTAATCCCTGTAAATCACAGGCGATCATCATAGGGAGTAGGTATATGTCTAATTATATCCGTTCCTTTCATTTGCCACCCGTTTCTATATGTGGAATCAATATTCCTTACAGCGACACGGTGAAAAATCTCGGAGTGATAATTGATTCCAATCTCTCATGGACAGCCCACGTCGCTGATGTAAGTCGCAAAATGTATTTTTCACTTCACACCTTAAAGTGTTTACAAAATTTTCTTCCTCTACATTCTAAAATTGCCCTTGCCCAATCTCTTATTCTACCCCTTCTCGACTATGCTGATGCTTGCTATTTAGACGCTACGGAGATTTTGCTTAACAAACTTGAGCGCCTGCAGAATCTTGCCATCCGATTCATCTTTGGTCTTCGTAAGTACGATCACGTCTCCAACTTTCGAAAGGAACTCAAGTGGCTTCCCATACGTCTGCGCAGGAATGTCAGAATCCTTTGTCTCCTTTTCAACATCCTTTACAATCCTTTATATCCTTCCTATCTTCGAGAGCGGTTTTCTTTCACCCACTCGCTTGATGTTCCTTGCCGGTCCCACCTAAAATCCCTTCTCAAATGTCCTACTCACAAAACTGACTTTGCATCCTACTCTTTTACAGTCCATGCCATCCGCTTATGGAACTCGTTGCCAGCAGAAATCAGAGACGCCCAGACCATTTCTACCTTTAAAAAACGATTGAAGGAACACTACCTTTCTACTTGAAAATCTAAAACTTTATTGCTTCTCCTAGTTTGCTTTTATTTATTTTATATTAATATTTATCAATTTATTAGTTAATATTTATTATTTATATATGTATTGTATGTTATTGTATGTATTGCATATGTATTATGTTATATTTATTCAGGAGCACACACTGACTGCCTTTTTCTATGTTCTTTCCTTTCGCGGGCCTGCTGGAAGAAATTTCATTATGAAATAAGCAGTGCCCTTGTACATGTCTCTTGTTTCTCTTTTATGTAATATTTTATTGTGTGTGTACAAAATAAATAAATAAATAATAAATAAATATTCGTTCAGACATCCTTTCTAATCTTTAAAAATTAACGTCGGATCTCTGTCTGTCTGCTTTAAAGTAACTAGTCTTTGAAGTTTATAAGGTATTAAGGTTCATGTTTTAATCAAACTTGATAAGAAGTCGACACCACAATATTGACGTTGAAATGTAATAGGACTTTCTTAGTGACGATGAACGAATGATCCGCTTCACATATTGTTAGGTGTAAATGAAATAAAATCGTGGTGGCAACTGATACGACAAGGACACAAGCTCCCTTCTTGACTACCTGAATAATATTCTCCAATTCTATAGATTCATTACCGTCTTCCTAGAGATTTTTCACTTTCGTGCCACAGAGAAATTCCCTTTATTTCCATTTTCATCACCTCATTAAATAGTAAAGAGCATAATTTAAAACTCAGGATTCAATCGTTAACTGTGTTTAGAACCACAGATTTTTTCTATTCTTTTCAATCTTAAAATAATGTATCTATTTATTAAATATTAAATAGTAATGCATGGACATAGTGTTTCTTATAATTTGATATTAAATGGGTATTAGTCATTTTTCATAACAGTAATATTGTACCTATGTAATGCCGCTTCCTATATACTACATATAATGTTAACTATAAAATTAATTGTAACTATATATTTATATTCTAGATGATGTAATGGAAAGTGACTTCAGACGTACTCGTATTTCTGAAGTAATTTTTCAACTTGACGACACTGTATATAACAATACAGGGAGAAAAAAACAGCCCTTGCTGAGTTTCTTGCAGGTTCTTCTCAGTACAAGGTCTCCCGCCGTAGTTTTGCGAACCGATGGCGTAGCTTCTTGACCTTCACAAGTGCTTGTAACAGTCTAGACTGAATAAATGACATTTCATTTCATTTCATTAAAATAGGTATGCTTATTTAGAAACTACCATCATCATTACACATTTATTAAATACTAGCGGCCCGCCCTCGCTTCGCTTCGGTGTAGAGCTGAAGTTTTACACAAAAATTTTTTTCTCAGGCTTGTATTATACACAATGACATTCATCTATGATTCTTCTTATACCTGCATGCAAAATCTCAGCCCGATCGGTTTAAAATTGACAAAGTTTCATACAAACTTTCATTCCCTATTTTATCCCCGTGGGGGTAGAATTGATCAAAATCCTTTCTTAGCGGATGCCTACGTTATAACATCTACCTGCATGCCAAATTTCAGCCCGATCCGTCCAGTGGTTTGGGCTGTGCGTTGATAGATCACTATGTCAGTCAGTCCCCTTTGACTTTTATATACATATATAGATAAAAACGGTAATTTTATTACCTGTATTTATAATCAAACTAAAATTCTCATATTTACGTGATATAATCGGAATGCTCCGAACTGCTAAGCTATCAGGAGTTACACGTGTTATTGTGAGTCAACCATAAAAGATAGACATATGCTGTTGCGGGATATTTTTTAGACAATATTATGTCTACATACTCACATATTTCCGTCATACATGATTTCTATGTAACTTTAACCATTAAGGCTGCACACGCGACGGAAGCTGAAAAAATGGAGTAACTTCTCCCGTTTTCCCAACATTTCCCTTCACTACTCTGCTCCTATTAATTGTAGCGTGATGAAAAGTATACTATAACCTGCCCAGGAGTATGAAGAATAATTGTACCAAGTTTCGTTAAAATCCGTCGAGTAGTTTTTGTTTCTATAAGGAACATACACACAGACAGACAGACAGACAGACAAAATTTTTACTGATTGCATTTTTGGCATCAGTATCGATCACTAATCACCCCCTGATAGTTATTTTGAAACTATATTTCATGTACAGAATTGACCTCTCTACAGATTTATTATAAGTATAGATTAAGACGTAGTATACAAATCCCGTTTGAATCTTCGTTTTCTTATAATATAACGCTTTATTTTGCAGCTCTGGAATTGGTGGGACCAAAGGGGAGAGTGTTTGTCAGTCTTCTCTTCAACACCATGTTCATTCTTGGCGGTGTCGCTGTCACTTTACTCTCATGGTGGTTGCAGAACTGGAGATATTTGCTCTTCATCATTTACACTCCTTCCGTCTTCGTATTCGTCTACATGTGGACTTTGAGCGAGAGCTTCAGGTGGTTCTTCAGCAAAGGCCGATACCAAGAGGGTTTGGACGTTCTCAGTAAATCGGAAAAGTTCAACAATGTGAACATACCAAAAGACTACTACAGTCAAGTGGAGAAACATGCTACGCAACAGAGAGACGCGAGGAAGTATCAGTCAAAGGAAAGCAACCAGTCTTCGTTCAAGCAAATCCTGACTTCGATGATGATATGGAAGAGACTGCTCATATGCTCATTTTTGTGGACAGCATCCACGTTAGTGTACTACGGTTTGTCTATAAACGCAATTGAGCTGTCAGGGAACAGTTACTTGAACTATATTGTGATTATTGTGATAGAAGCACCGGCAAATGTGTGTAAACTGATATTGCTGGACCGATTCGGAAGGAAGAAGGTCATAGCGATTGCTTTCTTACTGACCGGCCTCATACTGATCAACTACGGTTTCGTTCCAGGTAATAAACTCTGATATAATTATATCTGCTATCTTGCATGTACATACATCGTTTGCAAAATTAATGGAGCGGAAGCAGTTTTTTGAGTAAAATTGATTGCTGCTATTAAAGAACGCATTATGCATGACTTTCAATTAATCAGGCATCTCATTGCTCACTCAAAATATAGAACCCGGATTTTGCCTAAAATCTACCATAACTTTTTATCCTTTATGGAGTATATTAATAATAATTGATTATTATTATCACAACCAACTATTTCTAATTAACATACCATTATGAGCTTAAAAGTCAAATATGCCTTATATATGTATATTTAATTAAAATAGGCAGAATTATTTTAAGTACATAGATTGCGATTGATGTAATTATTTCATATGTAATTATTACACGCTCCACGAACATTTGTTCGAAAATCGTTCAATTCTTATTTTCTCGATTCAATCAACTGGAATCCTCCTGACTCTTTGACGACCTCCGTGGTGTGAGTAGTAAGAACGCCGGGGTTCAAGGTGTCACCTATTCCGAGGTCCTGGGTTCGAATCCCTGTGGGAAAAATGTTTGTATGATGAATTTTTAATATGTATCATTAAATAAATAAACTTATACAACATTTAACGTTAATAACGCACACTAAAAGTAGTTTGGTTGAAATAGGCTCTTGAATTGATTTCAATAAAAAAGTATCTAAAAAATCCGAATCCATCATTCCAAATAAAAGAATATGCTACATAGTTCAAGGCAATAAGAGGTATATTAAATTCAACGGTACATTAAAAAAATACTAAGTTCGAAAGATCACTGGTTAAAAGATTAAATAAAAATTACAGAAATTGATTCATTTGCATATTTGTAACAAACTACTTTCAGGTGTGCGTTATTCACGTATTGTATATGTGTCAGTATTATGTTTCCTTTCTGATTGGTGTGAGTGTTGGAAATATTTATTGATTTATTTATCTCTCTTCCAGAGGGGAACTGGTCTTTAGTGATGTACTTGGGTGGTAAATTCTTCATCACTTTAGCTTACAACTCATTATACGTATTCGCGGCAGAAGTTTTCCCGACAAACTACAGGACTACGCTATTGGCCATGTGTTCTACTGTTGGAAGAATAGGATCTACGGTAGCACCATTGACACCGTTGTTGGTAAGAACTTTATACATAATTGTTTTTTAAAAGATTTCTGATAATGTTAAAAACAGGTAAAATTTGTGACTTTTTGAACTTATTGGTTACTGAACCGATTTTGAAAATTATATCGCCAATAGAAGCTATAGTAGAAAGCTAAATTATTCCTGACTGATATAGCATATATTTGATCGTGTTAAAATAAATTTCGTTCGTAGGTTGCTAGTCTATAAATACTTTTGAATTGGTATGAAGCACGTTTTAATTGAACTATAAAAGATTCTTGATATTTTGAATAGTTTAATATCTATCTATAATAAACAGAGGTTCCTCTAGTGAAACTATTTCGTCAAGTCGCTAATGCTTTGACTTCAAAACCCCTACTTTTGACAACATTGTTTTAGAATGTTTCAAAATCCGTTGCATTAATTTGTACTATACTTGCACTTTAAATCAAGAAACTGAGTTTTTTTTGTTTTCTACACATCACTGAACATTATAGGTACAGTAAATATTGGACTGACTAACATATAATTCAAATATAGGTGATCTGATTGCAACACTAAACATGCATAACATAAAAATTATGATGGATGGATCATAACTAAATAAATATATATAGCCTAGTTATTTTAACACTATTTTTTTTTCTTAGGCGCGGTTCTATGAGTACCTACCTACTATTCTATTCGGGGCAATGGCAACATTGTCAGCTGCTCTAGTCCTAACTCTACCAGAAACGAATAACCTCAAACTCCCCGACTCACTGAAAGAAGCCCAGGACCAAGACAAAAAGAGAGATCCCGAGGAAAACAGACAAACACAAGATGAAAAAGACACTGTAATCAAAAGTAGATTATAATGAAATGAACTAGGGAAGTTCAGTATTTATTTTAAACGTGTGTTGTTTGGTTAAATATTTGTGGAAGAGTTTTATCAAGCAAAAAAATCTTGTTAGGATTTGTTTCAATGGAAGTGTTTGTTAAAATCTGCATAATATTAAAATTATAGACATGGAGAAAACACTAAGCGTTACCTGTCCAACAACTTAGTAAAACCGGACTGATAAGTGTGAAAGGGATGATGCGATCGTGCGGCCTATTGTTCGTAAAAGTATAGGCTGCAACATCGTTTTCTCTCTTTCTAAAGAGTTACCCTCTTTCTAGTAAGTCATATTGTCGCTTAGTCAATTTTCTGTATCTATGATTAAAACACAGCCATTGACTTCATAACATGATTATTAAGTAAATTATGTTGAATGAATTGTGACCTAAACAAAAATCTGAGACCCGGTTTCTAAGACTGTTTAGAGATAAAAATTCAGTATCAAGCCGTCAAATCTAATGTGAACTGTTAATTAATTACTGAAAGTGAAAGCCTAATCAACTTATCACTGTGTCAAATGGCAGAGCCGTCAATGTAGTTCAATTAATTGTTATACGGCAAGCGCCGATTTGGGTGTCTAGAATTTTCGCTAATATTCGTTTGAAAAACTAAATATTTTTTGGCACTCCTATTAAAATAACAGGCAATTAGTTTAATTATTTGACAAATCTTTTAGAAACCATGCGTTAGGATTTGAATTTAGTTATAGGTGCAAATTATTGTGTGATGAAAATGAGAATTTTATAAGTCAAACTTTTATTATTGATATTAAATTAATGTAATTTCAGTCGCCATAGTACAAGCTCTGCTTAGATTGAGACTGAATGAACTATGTGAAAGTTAATAGGTATGTAATATATAAATTTAATAATACCTCTAGATATATTGTAGATATAATTATGTAGACTTTAGATAATGATCTTGAGTTTGTCAAATAATGAAGTTTATCATTACGTTTAATCAAGTTGATTCTGTGTCGTCGGTTGATATATCATTTAGGTTATAATGTATGTTCTAGATAATGAAAATCTTAGTATGCTGTAGGTACTTACATTCCAATTCTTTACATTTTCTTCAATAATTGCTAGCAAAAGGTAAGAATCTCAGGAAATACTGATCTCTACACATATAGTATGTTCCAAATTCTATTATATTTTTAAAGGTAATGTATATTTAGCTACGTATTTAAACAATGCTTGTCAGGTTGTAAATAATGGCTTGTTAAGTCAGGACATTATTTCAGATTAGTCTTATTTTAAAATTGATTTATCACAATCCTTTAAAATCATTGAATTATGTAACTTCCTAACAACCACTATGACCACATAATAAGGAAACCTAATATCTCTAATTACAGGCATATACCTATTCAAAAATTCTGTTTGTTTTTTAGAGTTGAAGAACAGGCTTCGCATAAATCAACTTTAAAAGGTCACTTAGCCTTAAGAGTTAAAAACAAGACGGTTGAATCGGAACGCCTCTCTACTTTTCATGTAGTGATATAACAAGATAATAAAACTTTGTTGCAATAGAAAAAATACGAAACCAATTTTATTCATAATTTCTTATTTATGTGGAGTTATCAGTTTTGATTCTGAAGATGAACTTGAAAAAACAAAGAGATTGTCACAATACATTGAACAAGCATTAACTTAACATAATTCTCATATTGTATTTTTTTAGGTTGGTTAGTTTTTTGATAATCACCAAAATTAATTATTATTTTAAAAAAACATGTTCTTATATAAACATGATTACAATTTAATAGTACAAAAACGACAATTTCAGTTACCTACCCATTAACGGCCACTTTCAATAATCAACCTTCAGTAAAAGTAATAGTTATAATAGTGATAGTAGTAGCAATAGTTGTTATGCTAATCGAAATAATAAAAATATTCAGGCAACAAAGTTGAAAACAACTGATTAATTATTGAAACTGGTCCTAAATATTTTTTCTTCATAGATAAATTATTGGTCTCCTTTCGGTCGAGCGAAGCGAGACCAATCATTTATCTATGGTAATGGTAATAAATGTATTAACTTCCATTAAGAATTTTTAATTATTTTAAGATTAAAGAATTTGCTCTTTCTAAAATTAAAAGTATTTACAAATTCAATCATAATTAATAAGTAATTACTAAAAAAATATGTGTTTATTTTATTTCTGTTTTGGATAAACAAATATTATTATAAACATTTTAATAATTTCAATGTTGAAAAAACGTAATCCAAATTAATATTTTTGAGCAAAAAAGACTGTGTTTCAATTATTCCTCACTATGTAAATCTCATAAAATTACTACAAGCAATATGACACGGGGTGTCAAGTCGTGGAAACAACTTTATATTGTTTTAAACTTTCATGGTCACTAACATTATAGCTATTAATGGATTTGTTAACATGTACTTTGTTTTTTATGAGTCTCCGATATTTCGGCACTGTTGCAAGCGCCATGATCACGGAGTAACTGAAGTAATTGCGGGTAGATGTTATTGGCAGACATATCCGTCTACCCTCTGACGTCGTCTTTTACTGCACCCGATACCTCTACCACTGCTCACATTCTCACTATTCACTCGCACTTGTTCCCGACACACAATACTCACAGTATCGCGGACAAACAATTTTTTGATTTTTGCTGTTTTTACACATACGAACCACTGGATTCCAGACATTTGACAATTTAAACCTATCCTCACGATTGAAATTCTTGTGTTAGGTTATTTCAATCGCTTCCCCGACCAATCTTGGTATGTAGTGGCGTTCTGTCGAAATAATTTGTGGATCGACAGAACGCCACTACATCGATGTGACCAGTGGTAAGGGTATCGAGCGCAGTAAAAGACGACGTCAGAGGGTAGACCGATATGTCTGCCAATAACATCTACCCGCAATCACTTCAGTTACTCCGTGATCATGGCGCTTGCAACAGTGCCGAAATATCGGAGACTCATAAAAACAAGGTACATGGTAACAATCCCGTTAATAGCTACAGTGGAAACAACTTATTTAAGTGCAGAAAGTTCAGATGGTGCGATAACGCGTCTACGCTATAGGACCGTTTAGAATCTGAACGATCAGGTCATCTACGAGTAAGCTTTAGATGATCGCGCGTGAAGTGAACGCCTGCCTGATCATCAAAGTCCTATGCATGAAGCAAATACAAATACATTAATTAAGTAACTCTTTCGTCATCATCATCATCAGCCTATTAATGTCCCCACTGTTGGGGCACAGACCTTCCCTATGGATGGAATAGGAAGATTGGGCCATGACCCACCACGCGGGCCCAGTGAGGATTAGCGGGTGCTAACGACTGCAGATGCAGACGGGACCAACGGCTTAACGTGCCTCCTGAAGTTTTCGTAGAAACTCAAGATAGGAGATTATTGGTCACCCGTCCAATGACCGACCACTGCGAAAGTTGCTTAACTTCAACGACCGCAGCCGAACGCGCTGACCACCTGCGCCATCGAGCTCCTCTTTACGCGCGGTAAAATGTACGCGTGTCAACGCGTGACCATATTGGACTTTGCTACCACCAAAAGGCCGGTAAACCTTTTCCTTCAGAACCATCAACTCATGAGTAGGTTTCATTCAGACCCCTGGTGCTGCAAGTATCCTTGGGCGGCAGCGACCTCCACCATTGTGTGAACTGTCAGTTCGTTTTAAGGTAACTAAGAACCGACATACACGGGAAGCAGTCGGGGTGGGTTCCTTCAAGCTGCGACTGCATGAAAATCAAAAATCATTTATTCAGTCTAGGCTGTTACAAGCACTTGTGAAGGTCAAGAAGCTACGCTATCATTTCGCAAAACTACGGCAGGAGATTTTGTACAGGGAAGAACCGACAAGAAACTCAGCAAGGGCTGTTTTTTCTCCCTTTATTGTTATAAACAGAGTCGTCAAGTTGAAAAATGACTTCAGAGATACTTCTGAAGTCACCTTCCATTATATAATTTATACTACTGCATAGTGAAGTACAGTGTCCTATGTACACAAATACACGGACAGCTCAATTACTCGAGAAGTAATCAATGGCAGCTTCAAGCTGTTAACTCTGACTGCTCAAGTAGTCCATGTAACATTTGATGTTTTTTATTTAGATAATAACATTCGAGTTTTGATTGAATCGCTTATCTATTAGACAAGTCCGTCCGTCTGTGGTGCTGTTTCAGCGGCCAAACCGGAGGAGATAGATAAAGAGAATATTTAAGTTATAAGTTAAGAATAGTCTGATAAGACTACAAACCGGATTTGAGTAACGTAGCACTTCCGGTTTTCGAGAAATCACGAATTTCAAACGAAACCACACAAAATCTCCGAAGTTCTCAATTTTTTAAATACATTTTTTTTTTAATCAGGTTTGGTGAACATTTGGTTCACTGATTTGCTAGTTATTTTTTAATATGACACACAGATATGACCTACACATCTCTCTCCCACCTGCCTCACGAAACTCGTACATAATTCTCAGAAATGTTACTCAAAACTCTCTGCAATCTTTTGTGTGGTGTACGGAAAGAATTAGATTACGATATTTAATTCGTTGGGTCTATGTCACTTTCACAGGTGACCTCTCCGTTTATACCGAAAAACTTGTGGACGTTAAATTATAAACAACGCCGGAGATTGAATTAGCAACCTGTGTGTGTGTTTTTTCCTTTATTTTAGTTGGCCCCATCCTTACACCTGAAGTCTTCTGTTTTCGTATTGTCTAACGTCGATTAATGCTTTTTAAGGTTACGTTTTAATCATTATTCTGCTGTAGCGCAAACAAAGAAAGTGACCGCATCATTAAAGTAGATGAAAGTAAAAAAATAAGAGGCATGAAAAACTTTCTTATTTGCTTCAAAGTGGGATTATTATATTAGAGACGACCTCCGTGTCCGAGTAGTTTATACGCCGAGTTTCATCGAGATATTTCTGTGATGAATACGAGCATTTGTACTCCAATCATGGAGTTATGGATATTTAATATGTATTTCTATATAAATATCCTTATATATGTACAATATATGTATTTTATCCGTTACCCTAGTATCCCCAAAACACAAGCCTTACTTTGGAGCTAGGCTAATTGGTGTGCGTCGTTTAAAAAAATAAATATTATGCACGTAACAAACCAGCACGCTTTATCCCAAATAAAAGGTTAACACCAGATTAAATGGGGCACTGTCACGTATACATGCTTTAATATCAGATTATAAAGTGACGTATTATTTAAAAAAATACCATCCCCGCAGTGAACGCTACCAATTGTAATTACGTTTTAAAACGTGATCCCATTTTAACGGACGTGACCGACTGGACTGCGGTGCTGTAAATAATAAAAAAAAACACCCGCCTTTAGAAAAAATAGGGTTCCTTTAACGTAATCATTATGTTAGCATGTTGGATATGGGGAGCTCGATGGCGCAGGTGAGTTGCGCGTTCGGTCTGCGATCATAGAAGTTAAGCAATTTTTGCAATGGTCAGTCATTGGATGGGTGACCAAAAACTTATAATCTTAAGCTCCTCCGTTCTTCCGAAGGCACGTTAAGCAGTTGGTCCCGGCTGCATCTCCAGTCGTTAGCGCACACGTATCCGCATTGGTCACCGCGTGGTAGGTACCGCCTATCTCCCTATTCCATCTATAGGAAAGGCCTGTGCCCCATCTGCACCATTAATAGGCTGATGATGATGATTTTGGCTATAAAGGACATTTTCTTTTCTTTGCACATAAATACAGAACAATAACAAAAAATATTATTAATTTTGCCTATTATTCAACCAGTCATGCCTTAGTCTTAGGTACTTGTAGTAACAACGACACAGGAAAAGAATTATAATATTAAAGTAGCTTAAGAATCTATTTTTCCGTAATTGAACAACTTTCACCATAATTGACTTGAACTAAGTGGTTAAATATTACCATTGGTCCATTTTCTTAACCGTTTTTCTTAACCATGTACGAAAGAACCATTTTATTCACACAACCATGAAAAAAAAGCCTGTCTGTACTCCACATAACTTAATAAAGATTTAACTCCACAACAACATCGATCTTTTAGAAAACACGAGGACCTATCTACCTAAGTTAGTAAATCTGCTATTTATGGAGTCCCCAAACAAAACCAATAAAACAGATATCAGACAGTTCTGGAACTCGCATTAACTTCAGAGTTGGGAACAACGTGACAAAAAAATGCTCTGGTCCACAGGGTCAGACCACAAAATAAATGGACACAGAATGCCGGTTCTCTTAAATGCCAAATAAAAACAGTTTTAAGTTGTTATTTAAAAATGGGTAGAAATGATATTAAAAAAATACCCGACCAACTACGACAGTATACGCTTCAAAACAAATTCGAAAGAGGAAATTAATTCGCGCCACGCTTGGCAGACCAGTTGGTAATCACCTATAGGATTGCGGGGAACAGGTTCGTCTTTAATTTCGGGGAAGACCTAATGCTCAACCCGAATAATAAAGATAATAACAGTAATTTGTATATTATTTTCGAAAGAAATTAAGTTTTTCCTATGTGTTTACAATTGCCTGCTCTTCGTCATAGCGGTGAGGTTGACAATTTACTGTAGCAAAACTAAGCTTTTAGCTTGACACCCCACGCCACACAGGCTGACATTCTCAATCGCTTTATTCCAATAACCCTGCCTTCTATATCTCCATATTTTGCGGTCAAAGGGCGAACGTTGTCCGGGCAAAAACAATTGGCGGGTATGCCCCGAGCGCCCGCCCGATTGTTCCTGGCGAATCCATGAATATGTTTATCCGTGACCACGTTACCTAATACCTGTCCATGTTTCACAAAGGTTGTGCAAACAATACTAAGTGAAGTACGTACCTCATGTAAAGTAAATACGGAACAGGTTTTGTAACAGCCAGTCGGGCGGTAATGCGCTAAACGGTTTTCGCCATATTTAATGAATATAATCGGTGCGAATGTTGGCATGTATTTAATGTTTTTGTTGTAGGTGGGTACTACCTTAAATTAATAATGCTCAGGTGGGTATATTTTTATTTTTGAAGTGAAAACATCTTTAGTGGCGTTCTACACTTTTTTTTGTATGGGTAAAAAATGCTAAACTCGCGTCAGGTTAAACACGTGGGCTGATCGCATCATGACACATAATAAAATTTGAAAGGTTGTTGACTTTCAATATATTGGACGAAACATAGTAATATTTTATTTTACCGTATTATAATAATAAGTCTCTATCTAGGACTTCCACGTGGCAGCTTTATCGC